AATAACTGTCAATCCCCTCCTTCCAGTCAGGCATCACAACCGCAACCTTAATGAGAGCCTCAACGTGTGTGGAATCTGAAGGTGTACAGGAGTCATAAGGAAGAACACCTTTTAGGCTGCAATCCTTCTGATCTTACTACTCAATAAAAGTGGTGAAGCCTTAGGCATAGAAAACTAAGCTTTTCCTAGTGCTCATTAAATATTGTTAGGGCAACTCTGCAGGGGAGTTTCTGATCCTTTGCCCTGAAGCACTAACTCAGGAAAGAGGGAGGAGCAGGGGCCTATCTTTTAATTACTTGCATTTGCAACCATCAAAGTAAATTCATGATTGTATCCTTAGCAGAACATTGCAGTAGAATCTTTGTTTTCAGATCTGGTGAATTAGCCTAGAGCAGGATTCTCAACCAGTAAGTAGGGAGGGATGCTATCTTGGTATTATGCAGAAATAGAGTGCTTGATTGCATAATATAGCTAGCAATTTACAATGACATGCAGCTATTTCATGTCCTCTATGTCATTTTATGCCCTTAAAGTGTATTATAATGTCATTTTATGCCCTTAAAGTGTATTATAAATGATGAATGTTAAAAAAAAAAAAATCTGTTCATTACAGGTTATTTATGTTTTAAAAATTTAGAAACAACCAATTTGGGATTGGTTTAAAAATTTATAGTATATCCATAAAATACAGAAGATACTTACATATTAACATGGAAGGATAGCTGCAATATGTTGTTGAGAATAAAAAAGCAAGTTACAGGATATCACACATACACGCACAGAGATATATTCCAAAAGAAGAGATACTAAACCATTAATGTTAGCTCCCTCTAGGAAGCCAAATTATGAGATAGTGAGGGGTAAGAGTCTGGGTTTTCCATTTTTTTGTTTCATGCACTTTAGTATTTTTTTTTTTTAAATAACTTTGGGCTGCTTTTATAATTCAAAACCATCCATTTTGATGAAAAAAAGTAAATGTCAATCAACAGACAAATGTTCTCTGAAAATGTGCCCAGTTTGTTTCCAACATAGCTATCCTTTCACAGAACATATGAAATATGACACAGTTTTACAATCCACAAAACAGCTATCCCACCAAAACAAGAAGACATTTAAAATCTGGAGAAAACAGCAAAGCCAGAATCAAAATGTACCCTTTGAACTATGCTTCAGCCTAGGAAAGTAAAAGCTGCTAGCAGTCGTGATTAGCAGGAAAACTACATCAGAATATTCTGCCACATTTAAAAATATGTTGCTTTTATTTTCTTTCATCTACTTTTGTTGTTAATTACTCCTCTGCTCACATGCATGCTTTACTATCCCCTCAGACTTCACTTACAAAACACGACTTCAAAAATAAAATTATGAAGAATTCTAAGAGGATGACAGCACAGTTTTCCACCAAAAGTGAGGCCCTGCTGAAAGTGGGGCCCTGAGAAAACATACTTGTCACACGCCTGTAGAGCCATTCCTAGGTTTCCCCTGAGAAACGCAAGAAGTTGCCACACTACCACGTAGCAGGGTCTGTGAACAATTGGGGCATTTCTATGCCAGATGTATGTGAAATACGTGAGGGATACAGCCTGAGATGTTCTGCTATATAAAGAGGAGTCTGAACATTGTAACCACGGGGGTTTTGAAGTTTATTGAATACCTATATGCTTTATTGTTTGGTAACGCATTTTAGCTTGTTTTTCAATAAACTGTTTCATTTATGAGAAGCTAAAAAGTCATAAATGCATGTTTGTTTTAAAAAATAAGAACTCAAATTCTGTTTCTCAAGAAAATTGGTGATGCACGTGTAATTTGCAATGTGTTTGCAAGTTCACCATCTACATATGGACCCATAGCGATTTCATTGACTCCTTGAAAAACAAAAAGTATCAGAATCTGCTGAAGAAGCATCAGCATCCATTTCAAAAGTTAATAGCTGTTTTCAGGAAAAATGTGATCAAAGACAATAGTTTAACATGTACATCTGTACAATTCTATGAAGCGTAACTTTTCATTATGATCAAAAGACTATCCTTCTAAATTAATTTCACTTACTTTTGCAAACTTATGAAATGTGAAATGATAGCTGTTAGTGGGCTGTCTTCATTAACTGTAAAATTTTATAAGCAGTTGAATAATATCAGTTATATACTAGTGTTATCATATGCTACCAGCAGAAAAACAATTCTAATAATGGTTTAACAATTTTCATATAAGGGCAAGCAAGCTGAGTCTTGGCTTTGCCCAGGAACGAATTCAAGAGCATGCCAGGGATAGAAGAAAATAGCTTTAATGAAGCATCGGTGTTACAGCTCCAGTGGTGTTATAGCTCTGTGACTGCTCCCAAAGGGCACCCCACAGGCAGAGGGTAGCAGCTCAGGGCAGTTTTCCAATCATATTTATACCTACTTTTAATTACATGTACATTAAGGGGTCATTAATGAAGAAATTTCTATGGAAGGGGTAGTGACTTTTGGGTCATCGGGTCATTGCCATGGAAAGGGGCAGTATCTCCTGGGTGTTGCCATGGCAATGGTAAACTGACATGGCACACTAATGGGGGTGTCTTATGGAACTCTGCATCCACCTCACCCCTATTTTGCCTAGTCTTCAATTTGATCTGGTGTCCAAGCACCACTTCCAGAGTCAAGTACTGCCTCCTACTTCAATTTCATGCAAATCATAAAATCAAAATAAAGCTCTAAAAAGTTCTTTCTGTCAAAAAAAAAAAAGAATATTTAGCCTTATTTTTAAAACCAAATTTAGTGAACTGTAATTTTAATATAATAAAATTCACCCATTTTAAGTATATTGATAATTTCTACAAATGTGGACAATTAGATGATTACCAGCACAAAAAAAAAGATCTAGAACATTTCCATCATTCCAAAACATTTACTGCCAATCCTTGCTAAGTCAAATCCTGTCCCCAGGCAACCACTAATCTATTGTCACTACAAATTAATTCTACCCGTTCTAGAATTTAATATAAATGAAACTCTGCAGTGCCAGGACCAGCTCGGTCGGGAAGACCCTAACCCAGCAATGCTAGAGGAATTAAAGACACACACACAGAAACATAGAGGTGTGATATGGGAAATCAGGGGTCTCACAGCCTTCAGAGCTGAGAGCCCCGAACAGAGATTTATCCGCATATTTATTAACAGCAAGCCAGTCATTAGCATTGTTTCTATAGATATTAGATTAACTAAAAGTATCCCTTATGGGAAACAAAGAGATGGGCTGAAATAAAGGGATGGGTTGGACTAGTTATCTGCAGCAAGAGCATGTCCTTAAGGCACAGACCGCTCATGCTATTGTTTGTGGTTTAAGAAAACCTTTAAGTGGTTTTCAGCCCTGGGTGGGCCAGGTGTTCCTTGACCTCATTCCAGTAAACCCACGACCTTCTAGCGTGGGTGTCATGGCCATCATGAACATATCACAGTGCTGCAGAGATTTTGTTTATGGCCAGTTTTGGGGCCAGTTTATGGCCAGATTTTGGGGGCCTGTTCCCAACCATGCAGTACATATACTCTTTTGCATTTAGGTTCTTTATACCCGGCATGACATTCATTTATGTTGTTGCATGTATCATTACTTTGTTCTTTTTGTTGCTGAGTCTATTCAATTGTATCCATATACCATGATTTATTTAACCATTTACCTGTTGACAATTGGATGTTTTTCATTTTAGGGCTATAATAATTCAAGCTGTCATATTGTTGTGCAGATCTTTTTGTACAGACATATGTTTTCTTTCCTCTTGGTTAAATATGTAAGAGTAGGTTTCCTTGATCATATGTTAAGTGTATGTTTCATTCTAAAAGAATCTGTCAAAATATTTTCCAGAATAATTGCACATTTTAATACTTCCCCAAGCAGTGAATGAGACTTCCAATTGCTCCACATCTTTGCCAATACAAACAAAGAAATTCTTTCATCGTGCCAGGAAGTATATAGTTATAGCTTATTGTGGTTTTAATTTGCATTACCCAGTGACTAATGATGTGCAGCATCTTTTTATATGTTTACTAGCCATTCTTTTTGCTTTTGGTTTTGTGATTTTTAGAGTTGAGTCTCACACTGTCGCCTAAACTAGAGCAGTTTATGTTGTCATTGTTCTTTCCTTTTTAAATTCTTTCCAAGACCTTTGCATTTACATTTAAATTGTAGCATACTATGTATTTCTACAAAAAAACTGCTGTGATTTTAATACAGTATAATTCTTCATTATTTGTATCTTTAATTTCTCTCATAAATGTCTTAGAGTGGTTTTCATGGACATATGCATATTTTGCTAAATTTTTCCTAAGTATTTTATATAACTTGATGTTACTGTAAATGATTTTTTAATTTTTTTGTTTTCCCATTGTTTGTTGCTAGTATACACAAATACAAGGGGATTTGCATGCTGACCTTTACATGCCGATCTTTTAAGCAAAATATACTCATCAAAATGGTCAAAACTAGAATGAATGAATAGGTGTTATGAGGAGGGAAATTCAACTCTAATATTAAACAGTTTTCTTAAAGCAGTTGCCAGCTAACAATATGATAGACTACCTGGTAGAGTAGTGAGTTCTCTATCACTAGAAAAGCCCAAGATAATTAAGGGGCCAATCACAAGAGGAAAAAAAGCCCAAGGGACTAATCATATCTGCTACCAAGAAAAGTTTGACATTGTATGAAGAAATCTTACATTTTCTTAAGCAAATATACACTAAAGCTAAATTTTAGTGGTGTTCAATTCCCTATAATTGTTTTGCCAAGTATTATGTCTTGTATGAAATAAAAGCAATTCTGTCTTATATATTTACACACATACAAATATACAGGTGTATTCTAATGAAGTTGCTTCCACTTTCTGGGTCAAACTGATTCATATGTTTGTGTGTGTGTGCACACACATGCACAATATATGTAATAAGTTATGGATGTATACATATATTTTTTCTCATCCCTTTATCCATGGTACACAATACACATTACTTCTGAAAGAAAGATAATACTGTGAGCAAAAGTATTTACTTTAATATAAAATCATTGTCTCATTTTCAAAGGACTAAAGATAAGACAGCTGTTTTCCTCATAGAAATAGAAACTTCTGAAAATCAGGTTTTAAAATAAAAATACGAGTATACCTTAAAGCACTGCCTTAAAAAGGCCAATAAACAATGAAAGAGATTACCTCAAAGGAAAGCTCCATTGTTCCTGATCTCAAACAGCCAAAATGGAAACCAATTTTTAAAAAAGAGGTGCTAGCTGTTGAGAAGATGGGTTTTAAGTACCACTGATATACGCTACACTCTGAAAGAAATATGAACAGCATCTGGCCTTCCCTCTCCTGAACTTGGCTGATTGCACTATATAGAAAGATGCATCTGTTCCTCTCATAGAACAGATAGTAGAGTCTTTAAAAGGATACTCAAGGAATCCACAGGGATCCTGAGGCAGGACTGTTAAGCACAAACCTTGATGCATGTGGCTGTTTGCTTGACGCTGTGTGTACCGCACACACTGCTAATGTGTATCGATACCGTCACCAAAGCATGGAAATTAAACCTTCATTAAGTGCCAACAGCAACAAAATTTCAAAGCCAGATATTACTAAAGACAAATGGACACTTTGGCCTGAAATATTGAGCTTTTGCAAAAGCATTTCTTCCCTGAATTAAGGCTTGCTTATCTGTTTACCTCTAAGAAGCAAGAAAAAAAAAAAAAAAAAAAAAAAAGAAGTCTACTCTGAAATATTCTTTAAAATGAAATGAATAATGCAATAAAATGAGAGGTCCACAAGGAGTTTTGTGGGAAACGGAGGTTTATTCAATTTTAGAGATGCATTTTCTATAGCTGTACTATCCAACATGGTAGCTACCAGCCACATATGGCTGTTTAAATTTATATGAAATTTAGTTTAATTTAAAATTAAGTTCAAATTAAACACTCAGTTCCCCAGTCACATGAGCCATATTTTAGTGCTCCATAGCAAATGATGCAGAGCTGGTGGTGCTCCATAGTGGCACATGATGACCATATCAGACAGCACAAATGTAGAACCCTTCTGTAGCAGCAGAAACTCTGTTGAAGTTTCTTTTTGAAGAAAAGCAAACAATTTTGAAGAAAAGCAAACAATGTGTTACCCAGACTTGAGCTATGGACACAATACAAGCAGAAAAATTGAGAACATTGTCAAATAGATTTTTATAAAGTCCTACCAGTTAAGGAAAGGAGAAATATTTGGCCTTGCCTCTCTAAATCTACTTTGAATAACTATTAAGATGACTCGATCCTTAAAAACTCATTGAATAATAAGCAGACAAAATAAAGTGCATTGCACAAATAGCAGGTGACCAAAGAATTACCATCAAAAATGAAACACTGAGTTGCTGTAGGTACACAAAAGAGACAGGTTAGAAATTAGCAGAGATTTCTAGAATTCAAGGAGGCTGGAATCTTAGATGATTTTCCTTCTTCTTGAAATAATTTGTATGTTCATTCTGTAAATCTTTTGAAGGCATATCCTAATTTTCAGATTTCTGTAACAGAAAATAATATGCATGAATGAAGCTGTTTATTGAAATAGCTACATTCAAACAAAATAAGAAACAAATTATTTTTCTCACTACTGACTGGGGAAACTTGAACTTCTCCAATCCTACATGATAACCCTGATAAAAAACATACAGCTTTTCTAGCAACTTTTAGGCAAACAAAGAGTCCTGTCTAATATAACAAAATTACTTGCAGCTATTTGATTCAAACTTCTCCCTTGCTCCAACTAAGAGCACTTAAGGGAAAGTTGAGTTGGAATCTTCATCTTTATTTATCCACCTTGCTCCTCGATTTCCTCATTCATTGTACTGAATCTGGTCTGGTTAATATTGCAACAGGAGAAGGCAAGGGAAAGAAGGGTCAGAAAGTTCTTGTTTGACAGACTGGGTATCTTAGATTTCAAAGGTGACTTTATTTTTTGTGGAGTAGTTTGTATCTTCTTGAGAGACACGTACAATGCCCCTGACCTACCTGCCACTCTTAGCTCTGTCAGAACAGACAGATTCAGCCAGCCAATGTCACTGTTTTCACTTCATAGAGAAGCACATCAGTCTGCTGCCAAAAGCAAGGGAGTTGGCATCAGAACAAGAATAAAAATCCTTTCTCTTCTACTTTTTACCCATTCAGATTGTGCAATCATTTTACCTGTTTACACCTCAGTCTTCTCTAGGAATATTTAGGGATTACTGTGAAATATAGGATTATTACAGGCAAGATAAATAAAACAGAGTCTGTGTGTAGGGTTTCTTTTCCTTTCATCTATCCTCTCCCTTTCTAATGACTAGTATCTGTAGTTAGATGATCATGTTGATAAAGCATTCTGCTCCATTTACATTATTTGCCTAAACTTATAAGAGAATTGCCAAATATAAAATTAGTTGATTTTAAAAGAAGAATATTTAAGAAAATTCTGAAATGTTATCAGAATTTTTTATTACCAAATAATTGAAAAGAATACTGGTGGATATTTTAATTAATATTTTTTATCCATTGCCCCGATTTACAAGAGGCATAAACATGCTGCAAAAAGATTTTAAGAAACTTTTTAACAGTTCTTTGAAAAAAAAAATACCAAGATACTAAAATAACCAAATGTTTAACATAAAGCTTTCTTTTTATAAGCATAAGATCTTATTAATTCATGGAATTATATTTTTCTCAATAAAGAACATTTTAAATAGTCTTATATATAAGTAGAAAATAGTTGACACAACTTGTGGGCTTTGTACCCAACTGCCTATATTTGAACCCAAATTCCAGCATCCACCAGCTAGTGACCTTAGGCAAGTTACTTCACCTCCCTGTTACTCACTATTCCCCTATAAAAGGGAGACATTTCAATACTCACCCACTAGACCTGAGTCAATGCATGTGAAGTGCTTGCATGAATACCTCACAATGAGTAACTGCTCATAAATGTTCACTATTATTTTTTATTTAGAAATATTTTTGTTTTAAATATATGTCAGCTAATAATATGAGGAAATTAGTATCAGAACAAAATTAGAACTCTGTTTTCTTAAGGCAAAATATAAGCACTGTTTTTCTGTGCCACAAGAATGTTACTCTAACCCTTCATTAAGCAACTGAAGAAAACTAGAAAATTTAACTTATCCAAAGTTACCCAATAAGTTGGTGTCAGAATAGAAAAAAAACATCAAACCACCAACTGAGAAGGTATTAGTTACTTTATTTAAAGCTAATAAAAAAGGTAGTCCCCAACCTGGATTCCGGCTGTAAAAGAACACTACAAAACAGAATATCCAAACCCTGTGGGACAACTCCAAAAGGTGAAATGTACATGTAATGAGAATAACAGAAGGAAAAAAAAAAGAGAGAAATGCCCAGAAGAAATAATTCAAGCAATAATCACTGAGAATTTCTCCCAAATCAATATTAAACATTAAACCAGAGAATTGAAGATCACCAAGCAGGATACATGCTTAAAAAACGACACCTAGGCATATCATAGCCAAACATCAGAAAATCAAAGATAAGGAAAAAGTCTTGGCAAAAGCCAAAGGGGTGGGGTGCGGGGGGGTGGGGGCGTGGTTAGAAACACCTTACCTATAGAGGAGCAAAGCTAAGAATTACATCTGATTTCTCCAGAAATCATGCAAGCAAGAAATTAATTAAGTGAAACATTTAAAATGTTGAAAGGAAAACCCCACTAACCTAGAATTCTGTACCTTATGAAATTATTCTTCATAAGTGAAGGCAAAATAAAGACTTTCTCAGACAAACAAAAATTGAGGGAATTTGTTGCCAGAGAGGGAATTTCTTGCAAGAAATGTTGGGAGCAAAGAAAAAGTGGATCTCATGGAGGTGAAGAATCAATGATGGTTAGAAGAGGCTGGGAAGAGTAGTAGGGAGGGCAGGAGGAAGAGAAGCTGTTTACAGGGTATGAAAATACAGTAAGATAAAAGGAATAAATTCTAGTGTTTGATAGCAGGATGACAATAGTTAATAATAATTTATTGTATATTTCAAAGTAGCTAAAAGAAAAGACTTGTAATGTTCCCTAAACAAAGAAATAATGAATGTTTGAGGTGACAGGTATTCTGATGACTCTGATTTGATCATTACACATTGTATGCATGGATGAAAATAGCACATGTACTCCATAAATATTTACAATTAATATGTATCGAAATAAATAAATATTTTAAAATGTGGTATATATACACAAGGCAATACTATTCGTCCTTTAAAGGGAAGAAAATTCTGTCATTTTCAACAGCATAAATAAATTTAGAAGACATTATGCTAAGTGAAATAATCCAGGAATGAAAAAACTAACAATCTTTTATGCAACTTATACGTAGAATCTTAAAAAGCATAACTTACAGAAGTAGAGAACAGAATAGTAGTTAGAGACAGGAATCCCAGAGACTGGGACTGAGGGGAGAGCAGGGAAAGAAGACACAGTAGTCAAAGACTAAAGCGTTTCAATTGGGAGAAATAAACTCTGGTGAACTATTGCACAGCATGGTGACTGCAGTTTTAATAATGTACCGTATATTTCAAAATTGCTAAAAGTGTAGATTTTGAATAGTCTCACCACAAAGAAAAGATTAATGTGTGAGGTGATGGCTGTGTTAATTAGCCTGACTTAATCATTCTATATTGTATATGCATATCATAACATCATACTATAGCTCATAAATATATATAATTATTATTTATCTATTAAAAATAATGAACTTAGAAAACAATAAGTCATTAGCTAAGCTAACTAAGAAAATAGAGAGAAAACACAAATTACTAACATCAGAAGTGAAAGAGAATATCACTATAGATCTCATGAACATTAAAAGGATTGATAAAAGAATAGTATGAACAACTGTCTTTGCCCACAAATTTGATAATCTAGATGAAACAGACCAATTCCTTGAAAGACACAAATTGCAATAATAAGAAAATAAACATCCTAATTTAAAAATGGGCAAAAGATTGAAACAGATGCTTCACCAAAGAAGATACAAGCACATGAAAAGATTTTCAACATGCACTAGGGAAATGAAAATTATGACCACAATAAGGTATCACTACACACCGAATAGAATGACTAAAATTTAAAAGACCCTACCAAGAGTTGCCTAGAATGAACAGCAACTAAAATTCTCATGAAGTGCTGGTGTAACTTAAAATGGCACAATCACTTTGTTAAACGGTTTGTCAGTTAATAAAAAATATAACTGTACACCTATCACACCACCCACTCAACTCTTAATTATTTACTCACAAGAAAAGAAAGCCAGTATCTACAACAAGACTTGTAAAAGAATATTTGTCTTTATTTATATTAGCCAAAAAACAGTAAACAAACTAAATGGCAAATGGATGAACAAATTTAGCGTACCCATACAATAAATTACTACTGAGAAATTAAAAGAAATGGAGTGTTGAGGTGGGCAAAAACACGAGTGAATGTCAAAATAAATACATTGAGTTGAAGATGCTAGACAAAAAAGAGTGCATACTATATGATGCCATCTATATTAAATTCTAGAATGTGCAAACTAACCCATAAAACAGGGGCTTGAATCATCATTCTGAAAGATACAATCCTGAACACCACAATCCCAAATGCTGAAATTCCAGAAGATCAAAAATGCCTAAAGTCCAAATTCCTACAGTCTAAACTCTCTAAGGTCTAAAATCCCCCAAATCACAATCACAAAATAGTTGCATCACGTTTGATTGACTTATTACCTTGTTATTGTCTAAATGCAGAAAAAAAATTCAATTGAGTCCCCAAACCATAATGACGGATTTGGAATTAGATGTGATCAAAGCTTCTAAAAGTGAGTTTCAAAGTGTTGTCAATCAAGTTTGTTTTGCTCCATTCAACCCAATGCATTTGTTAGAAAATTCAGAGAAGTGGATTGGCCATGAGATAATGGCAATGATAAAAACTGCTGTTTAAAAATGTGCCATTTTCCTGCATTGACATTCCTTGTAGCTGATGACCTCTCAAGAGATTTTAATTAATTGAAACCACATTTGCCTGAAGAAGCCAGTGAAGTCACTGACTGGCTTTAAAACAATTATGTGCATGGTAGGATGAGAAGGCACTTATGCAATGGTGTTGCTGTTTGATCACCAGTATTATTTCCAGCAAACTTGTGGTCTGTGTATGAGTACGTGCAAAGTGGGTTTTCAAGTGCCAAAAACAACATAGCAGCATAGCATAGAAGATAGAAACACTAGTTTCAGTGTATATCAAATCACAGAAGAATTTCACAAAGAGAAAGACCACATAGAAAATGAATGTGAGTGTATTCTCCAATGGCTATGTCAAAAAAGAAAAACAAAAAGGCAGCTATTTATCATGTTGTAAGGCCTCAAAATATAGTTAATAATCATGAAGATCAGCAACCTCTTATGGACTGTCTGCATGCAATTACTCCTAATCTATCCCTGTCACCCCGTCATACACTTTTTTACATGTTGAATTTTCTTTTCAGCTTTTTATTTTTTCTTTTATTTCATTTTTTCCCACTATCTTAAATCGTCAGCATTAGTTTTTACAATTCACTGTGCTGTGTATTCCATCTCTGCATCATTTCCAATACTGGAGGCATAAGTTGTGTTGGACTATTAGTGAGTTCAAATTCATTTTATACAGTTTTTGCAAATGTGCATTATCATAAGGTTGACTGTATGTAAACATGATGCATATACATTAAAAAATGGAAACTTCCTTAGTAAGTGAAGAGATGTCCTTTTTGTACATCTGCATTTGTGACAGATAAAATTCACGAGACCTTGGGTCTTTGGAGGGCTGGCTCGGTGGTGATGCTAGCATTTGGTTGAGCTGGTCAAAAACTTCAGTTGTCCATCACAGTATTTCAGATGACTGCAATTATAAAGCTAGGTACACACAATTACCACCCATAGTAATAGGTTTTATACATTTTGGTTTTTTGACTATTTCTTTATGAATATAGTTCATCTGCTCATAACTACTATACCCATGTGACTGTCATTAGTATACCTCAGTGTTTATCCTTACAAAAATATGTATGTTATTGTTGCCTATTTTTTTGCATTTTTGCATAAAGTGATCTATGAAGTATTGTCATGCTTTTATATGTTTCTCAAATAAATCCATTTTAAAAAGATAAACAAATATATTTTTACACATCTTTAAAATTTTTTCCAAAATTTTATTTCTAGGATTTTGAGATTTGGGGATTTCAATATTTGGGATTATGTCATGCAGGATTGTGTCTTTTGGGACTGTAAACAGCTCCCATGGCAAAAAACCTATTAGACGTGCCAGAGGGACAGCACCGGAGAGAAGGAGAGTCAGAGAAGTTGGAGGGGAGAATTACAAAAAGGAAAAAGAAACTTTAGGGTGTGCTAAAATGTTCATTATACTGACTGTGATACTTTAATGTGTATACATATGTGTCATAACTTGCCAAATTTAATATTTTTAATATGCACAGTTTATTTCATGTCAATATACCTTGATGAAGGTATAAGTAAGTAAAATATTACTCACACAACATGCTGATGTGATAGCAAGTATGCTCTAAATTACAAAAAAAATACATAGTTCTCAAAATTAGAAGTGTTTTCAATACCTTTAAAAAATAATCAAACGTATTTACTACAAAATGTCAACATTAAGAGATTTCTTCCTGGCCTCTTAGTCACATTTAAACGTAAAATGTATATTTAAATGTAAAACATTTTTAATAAGTTTCTGAAGTTTTAACACCTTAGTGGAAAAAACTTATTCTTAATATACTTAAAAAACCCAAACGTCATGCCAAATAGCATTATTTTTGAGGTTTGAAGCCTTCCTCCTTGTAGATGTTTTCAAAGTGAATTTTTTTCTCCTAAGTAACCCATATTTTATACAACCAACATTCGTTTGACATTCTTACTCTTTAATGTACATTAGTTTGTGAAAACCTAATGAAACATTCTGAGTTAAATCAAAGCAAGGATGCAAGTAGATTCTTTGATCTTTGTTCTCATTTTCCAAAATCGTAAGTCCAGCAAAGTAGTATATATGAAAATTTTCAGGACAAAATTTTTTAATAAGAAGCAAGATCTGGCCGGGCGCGGTGGCTCAAGCCTGTAATCCCAGCACTTTGGGAGGCCGAGACGGGCGGATCACGAGGTCAGGAGATCGAGACCATCCTGGCTAACACGGTGAAACCCCGTCTCTACTAAAAAATACAAAAAACTAGCCGGGCGCGGTGGCGGGCGCCTGTAGTCCCAACTACTCGGGAGGCTGAGGCAGGAGAATGGCGTGAACCCGGGAGGCGGAGCTTGCAGTGAGCTGAGATCCGGCCACTGCACTCCAGCCTGGGCGGCAGAGCGAGACTCCGTCTCAAAAAAAAAAAAAAAAAAAAAAAGAAGCAAGATCTTTTATTTTACGATCTCTTTTCACGGTCTCTGCCATTTGCTGTAAGTCTTCTTCCAAAGGATATTTTTGCTTTAATGAACTCAGCGTCATAATCTCTATACATGTATAATAAATACACTTCCATTCTTTATTATTACCCATTGATAACATGATTAATGTGCCTTTCAAATACCAGTGACCCGCAGTGCAAATATAGAACACTCTACCTCACACCTCTAACCTCAGGCGCAAGCTGACCCTTTGTAGTCAGATTTTTAAAATCATTTGGCTATCTATCTTGCTCAGCATTTACTATGATTTCAGTTTGCATTGAAATGAGAAGTGCAAAGAGTTAAATAATCAATAACAGAGCTAGTATATTCTATTTTGTAGCATTAACATATCTTCATGTTTAAAGGCAGAATGCCATTCTTTCCCACTATTCCAACTACAAGTATTTAGAAGATGATTATCTTAAAGATCTTTAAGCATTTTTAAAAGTAGGCTAAATATTTTAAAAACAATTTTAATGTAAATGTCTTTAGACAGGCATGCACTCTCCAAGTAGTTGCATCTCCACCACTCTCTATAGCAAGCCAGTCATTTCACACATTTCTATGATGGCTGGTCCACAAGGCATTTCAGTTTTTCACACCTAATGTATAAAGCATTAGAAGTTTTAGATTGAAAGACTGTTAGAGTTTAAAGGATCTTAGAAATATATGCCCAACCTTCTCACTTTACTAGTGAGACACAGATAAAAGATTTGTTCAACACTAAACATTAAATTAGCAGCAGAATAGCAGATAAATCAAACTTTCTCACTCCTAATATTCCTTTTCCATTACAATACTCTAGTCTTTCTAGTTTAAGGTCTTAAACCTAAATTTTTCTCCCCATATAATGTAAGCTTCAAGAGAGTGGGCTATTTATCTCTGAAGTCAAAAACAATCAGAACTTTCAAACAAAAAAAGTGATTATTAATTTTTGATAAATATACGGGTGATGCTTAGTCAGAAGTTGTATGAGCAGCAGGAGAATTAATATTAACTGACCTAAGTTACTTCCCAGGTATTTCATATATGTAATTGCATTGAACCCTTCCAAAAACTGCAGGAGAGAAGGTATTGCCCCATTTTATAGATGAGTAAATTAAATATAGTAGGTGACAGTATATACAGTGTGCCTGATTCTAAAATCTCATACTCTGTTCACTACAATGGTCTATAGCTATAACGCAAAGAACCAGTAGTGACATGCTTGGTTTTAACATATTTATGATGTCTACACAACATAATAAGAGCACTTGTAATATGGTAGACATTGTGGGTAAATTTTTGTGGCTTTAGTGCTATTATCTTACTAAAATGGAGATTTTTATCCTCATTTTCCAGATAAGAAAATGAGGCAAGACAAATGTTAAAACTTGCTTAAAGTCAAACTAGGACATGGCAGGATCAGACAGCCATGCAAGGAAGTTGGCTCCAGCGTTCATGCCTATGACCAGTACACTGAACTACTGCATAGACCAAAATGATGGTTCTGAAAGGATGGTTCCCTGAAGAGCAGCAGCAGCAGCAGCGTCACCTGATAATTTGTTAGAAAAACAAGTTACTGGGCACTACCCAGACCTATTGAATCAGAATCTGTGGGGCTAACACTGAGCATTCAGTATCTTAACAGCCTTCTGATGCACACTAAAGTTTGAGAACCACTGAATGAAAAACATGATATAATTGTTTTTAAGATGCTTTTACTCACCTTTTCATATATACACTTCTAGAATTTTTGTAAGCATGTACATACTTTCAAAAATATATATCAACCTGTACTGTTTTGTCATTTTTTCTCTAATTGATGTGCCATGAACATTTTTGTATATTGATAGTATTTTTCGAGATCATAACTTTCAATAGCAGCTTAGTACTCTTTCAAATGCACTTAACTTACTAGTGAAGTCCCTGTTGTGTCAAGAACCACGAAGAGTCTGAGATTTTTACCCCACTTGTAAGCTAACAAGTTAACTTGTTACTGATTCACAGATGGTGACAGAAGACACAAGACTGTAAGTAGGAGAAAAAAGATTTTATCACTCACAGGACAGCAAGAAATAGAATCATATGCATACTTCCATTGTCCTCCCCTCCCATCAAGTCCCAGGAAGGTGTACCATGCTTTCAGCTGACACCTGTATACAAAAAAAAAAAAAAAAAAAAAAAGATTGCATTACAAGAGAAGAACCTGGGACCAAAAGTCTGAGGCTTTTTGACAAGCTGCCAGTCACTGTAGCCAGCAACACGTAAGCCAGGCTTTCTCCTCTGAAGGTATGTGCTATTATAAATTACACGGTGGTCAGGTTGTGGTCATCTTGACCTACTCATTTGACTGTGTGACTAGCTGCATAAGCTACTCAGAACACAAAACATATAAGCCTTGCAATCTGGAACACTTTCCAAGAATGTGGAGGAATACTCAGGACCCGTGGAGGATACCTCTCTCAACAATTGTTGGACATTTCGAGTATTTTAAATTTTTTATTGTTTTAAATAATGTCACGGTAAACCATCATGTGCTTAAAATTCTTAATTTCTTGTTATTTATTTAGGATACATTCCTGGAAATAAAATTGTATGGTCAAAAGTCTCTTTCTCTCAGCTTTGACTAATACTTCACTTAGATTATGTGAGGCCGGGCACGGTGGCTCAAGCCTGTAATCCCAGCACTTTGGGAGGCCGAGACAGGCAGATCATGAGGTCAGGAGATCGAGACTATCCTGGCTAATACGGTGAAACCCCATCTCTACTAAAAAATACAAAAAAACTAGCCAGGCGAGGTGGCGGGGGCCTGTAGTCCCAGCTACTCAGGAGGCTGAGGCAGGAGAACGGCATGAACCTGGGAGGCGGAGCTTGCAGTGAGCTGAGATACGGCCACTGCACTCCAGCCTGGGTGACAGAGTGAAACTCCATCTCAAAAAAAAAAAGAGATTATGTGAAAAACCCCATTTTGTGCAAATTCTTACCAACACTAGGTAGTTTTTTGTATTATTAAAATTTGGAATGTCTTTTTTAAAAAATCACATTATTAATGCTAATCATAATTAGCACTCTTTGGTTATCACTAAAGTAAACTTTTTAATACATGTATTAGAATTTGTATTTCTTCTGTGTGTTACCTGTAATAGTATTTGCCATTTTTTCTTAAGATTATATATTTGAGGGGGGCGGAGCAAGATGGCCGAATAGGAACAGCTCCAGTCTCCAACTCCCAGCGCGAGCGACACAGAAGACCGGTGATTTCTGCATTTTCAACTGAGGTACTGGGTTCATCTCACTGGGGAGTGCCGGACGATCGGTGCTGGTCAGCTGCTGCAGCCCGACCAGCGAGAGCTGAAGCAGGGTGAGGCATTGCCTCACCTGGGAAGTGCAAGGGGGAAGGGAATCCCTTTTCCTAGCCGGGGGAACTGAGACACACAACACCTGGAAAATCGGGTAACTCCCACCCCAATACTGCGCTTTAAGCAAATAGGCACACCAGGAGATCATATCCCACACCTGGCTGGGAGGGTCCCACACCCACGGAGCCTCCCTCATTGCTAGCACAGCAGTCTGTGATCTACCGGCAAGGCAGCAGCGAGGCTGGGGGAGGGGCGCCCGCCATTGCTGAGGCTTAAGTAGGTAAACAAAGCTGCTGGGAAGCTGGAAATGGGTGGAGCTCACAGCAGCTCAAGGAAACCTGCCTGTCTCTGTAGACTCCACCTCTGGGGACAGGGCAATAACAAATGCAGCCGAAATGTCTGCAGACGCAAACGACTCTGTCTGACAGCTTTGAAGAGAGCAGTGGATCTCCCAACACGGAGGTTGAGATCTGAGAAGGGACAGACTCCCTGCTCAAGTGGGTCCCTGACCCCTGAGTAGCCTAACTGGGAGACATCCCCCACTAGGGGCAGTCTGACACCCCACACCTCACAGGGTGGAGTACCCCCCTGAGAGGAAGCTTCCAAAGCAAGAATCAGACAGGTACACTCGCTGTTCAGAAATATTCTATCTTCTGCAGCCTCTGCTGCTGATACCCAGGCAAACAGGGTCTGAAGTGGACCTCAAGCAATTTCCAACAGACCTACAGCTCAGGGTCCTGACTGTTAGAAGGAAAACTATCAAACAGGAAGGACACCTACACCAAAACCCCATCAGTACGTCACCATCATCAAAGACCAGAGGCAGATAAAACCACAAAGATGGGGGAAAAGCAGGGCAGAAAAGCTGGAAATTCAAAAAATAAGAGCGCATCTCCCCCGGCAAAGGAGCGCAGCTCATCGCCAGCAACGGATCAAAGCTGGACGGAGAATGACTTTGACGAGATGAGAGAAGAAGGCTTCAGTCCATCAAATTTCTCAGAGCTAAAGGAGGAATTACGTACCCAGCGCAAAGAAACTAAAAATCTTGAAAAAAAAGTGGAAGAATTGATGGCTAGAGTAATTAATGCAGAGAAGGTCATAAACGAAATGAAAGAGATGAAAACCATGACACGAGAAATACGTGACAAATGCACAAGTTTCAGTAACCGACTCGATCAACTGGAAGAAAGAGTATCAGCGATTGAGGATCAAATGAATGAAATGAAGTGAGAAGAGAAACCAAAAGAAAAAAGAAGAAAAAGAAATGAACAAAGCCTGCAAGAAGTATGGGATTGTGTAAAAAGACCAAATCTACATCTGATTGGGGTGCCTGAAAGTGAGGGGGAAAATGGAACCAAGTTGGAAAACACTCTTCAGGATATCATCCAGGAGAACTTCCCCAACCTAGTAGGGCAGGCCAACATTCAAATCCAGGAAATACAGAGAACGCCACAAAGATACTCCTCGAGAAGAGCAACTCCAAGACACATAATTGCCAGATTCACCAAAGCTGAAATGAAGGAAAAAATCTTAAGGGCAGCCAGAGAGAAAGGTCGGGTTACCCACAAAGGGAAGCCCATCAGACTAACAGCAGATCTCTCGGCAGAAACTCTCCAAGCCAGAAGAGAGTGGGGGCCAATATTCAACATTCTTAAAGAAAAGAATTTTCAACCCAGAATTTCATATCCAGCCAAACTAAGTTTCATAAGTGAAGGAGAAATAAAATCCTTTACGGATAAGCAAATGCTTAGAGATTTTGTCACCACTAGGCCTGCCTTACAAGAGACCCTGAAGGAAGCACTAAACATGGAAAGGAACAACCGGTACCAGCCATTGCAAAAACATGCCAAAATGTAAAGGCCATCAAGGCTAGGAAGAAACTGCATCAACTAATGAGCAAAATAACCAGTTAATATCATAATGACAGGATCAAGTTCACACATAACAATCTTAACCTTAAATGTAAATGGACTAAATGCTCCAATTAAAAGACACAGACTGGCAAACTGGATAAAGAGTCAAGATCCATCAGTCTGCTGTATTCAGGAGACCCATCTCACACGCAGAGACATACATAGGCTCAAAATAAAGGGATGGAGGAAGATTTACCAAGCAAATGGAGAACAAAAAAAAGCGGGGGTTGCAATACTAGTCTCTGATAAAACAGACTTTAAACCATCAAAGATCAAAAGAGACAAAGAAGGCCATTACATAATGGTAAAGGGATCAATTCAACAGGAAGAGCTAACTATCCTAAATATATATGGACCCAATACAGGAGCACCCAGATTCATCAAGCAAGTCCTTAGAGACTTACAAAGAGACTTAGACTCCCATACAATAATAATGGGAGACTTCAACACTCCACTGTCAACATTAGACAGATCAACGAGACAGAAAGTTAACAAGGATATCCAGGAATTGAACTCATCTCTGCAGCAAGCAGACCTAATAGACATCTATAGAACTTTCCACCCCAAATCAACAGAATATACATTCTTCTCAGCACCACATCGTACTTACTCCAAAATCGACCACGTAATTGGAAGTAAAGCACTCCTCAGCAAATGTACAAGAACAGAAATGATAACAAACTGTCTCTCAGACCACAGTGCAATCAAACTAGAACTCAGGACTAAGAAACTCAATCAAAACCGCTCAACTACATGGAAACTGAATAACCTGCTCCTGAATGACTACTGGGTACATAACGAAATGAAGGCAGAAATAAAGATGTTCTTTGAAACCAATGAGAACAAAGATACAACATACCAGAATCTCTGGGACACATTTAAAGCAGTGTGTAGAGGGAAATTTATAGCACTAAATGCCCACAAGAGAAAGCAGGAAAGATCTAAAATTGACACTCTAACATCGCAATTAAAAGAACTAGAGAAGCAAGAGCAAACACATTCGAAAGCTAGCAGAAGGCAAGAAATAACTAAGATCAGAGCAGAACTGAAGGAGATAGAGACACAAAAAACCCTCCAAAAAATCAATGAATCCAGGAGTTGGTTTTTTGAAAAGATCAACAAAATTGACAGACCACTAGCAAGACTAATAAAGAAGAAAAGAGAGAGGAATCAAATTGACGCAATTAAAAATGATAAAGGGGATATCACCACTGACCCCACAGAAATACAAACTACCATCAGAGAATACTATAAACACCTCTACGCAAATAAACTGGAAAATCTAGAAGAAATGGATAATTTCCTGGACACTTACACTCTTCCAAGACTAAACCAGGAAGAAGTTGAATCCCTGAATAGACCAATAGCAGGCTCTGAAATTGAGGCAATAATTAATAGCCTACCAACCAAAAAAAGTCCAGGACCAGATGGATTCACAGCTGAATTCTACCAGAGGTACAAGGAGGAGTTGGTACCATTCCTTCTGAAACTATTCCAATCAATAGAAAAAGAGGGAATCCTCCCTAACTCATTTTATGAGGCCAACATCATCCTGATACCAAAGCCTGGCAGAGACACAACAAAAAAAGAGAATTTTAGACCAATATCCCTGATGAACATCGATGCAAAAATCCTCAATAAAATACTGGCAAACCGGATTCAGCAACACATCAAAAAGCTTATCCACCATGATCAAGTGGGCTTCATCCCTGGGATGCAAGGCTGGTTCAACATTCGCAAATCAATAAACATAATCCAGCATATAAACAGAACCAAAGACAAGAACCACATGATTATCTCAATAGATGCAGAAAAGGCTTTTGACAAAATTCAACAGCCCTTCATGCTAAAAACGCTCAATAATTTCAGTATTGATGGAAC